TTTTGGCTACTAAAATTTTAATCGCCTAAAGTCAAATTTTTTTGGCTACTAAAATTTTAGTCTGCAAAAAGTTTTTATTTTGGCTACTAAAAATTTAGTCGCCTAAACTCTCACATTTTTGGCTACTAAAATATAAAAACCAAATGTGAATAGAAAGTATTCTTTTTACCAACTTCCTCATTAATTGTTTACAAAAGGCACTTGAATAATTCGATTGGATATAAAACTATCCCTACTTTTTAATGTCTGTCAGTGCCATTTCATTCAGGATATTAAAACATGTGAGAAAAAAAAAATAACAAAAATAAAGTTCAATCACAAAATGAAATACATAGAAATGTATGTTGAGACACCTATAAACGGTTCATCAAAGAAAGAATACCTGATATCTCATGAAGTACAAGGCCTTAGAAACACCATTAAGAGTTTGATACTTGTATGAAAGCTTAAATATAATATAACACAATCGTGTACATTCAATAAATTAATATAATATAACAAGGCGTATTCGGCTGCATTGAATTTTCGCCCTAAAACCGTTTTTTTTTTGAGTAAGTTTTGGGCGTATTCGGCTCTAACACTAAATCGACGGGTCCGAATAACATTCCGTCATTTGTCACAAGTCCTATTTGTCATGGGGAAGCTGCCCATGGGAGTCACACGGTGGCTCGGGGGTTGTTTTGAATTTTCGCCACCGAAACACCCTTTTTCAACTAAGTTTTGGGTGTATTCGGCTCTAACTCTCTACCTACGGGTCTGAATTACGTTCTGTCAGTTGTCACAAGTCCTATTTGACATGGGGAAGTTGTCCGTGTCAGCCACACGGTCGTTCAAGGGTTGTTTTGAATTTTCGCCCCCGAAACACCATTTTTTGACTAAGTTTTGGGCGTATTCAGCTCTAACTCCCAACCTACGGGTCCGAATAACATTCCGTCAGTTGTCACAAGTCATATTTGTCATGGGGAAGCTGCCTGTGAGAGTCACACGATGGTTTGGGGCTGTTTTAAATTTTCGCCCTCGAAATGTCCTTTTCCGAGTAAGTTTTGGGCGTATTCGGCTCTAACTCCCAACCTACGGGTCTGAATAACATTCCGTTAGTTGTCACAAGTCCTATTTGTTATGGGAAAGCTACCCGTGAGAGTCACACAGTGGTTCGGGGGCAGTTGTGAATTTTCGCCTTTGAAACACCCTTTTCCGAGTAAGTTTTGGGCGTATTCGCCTCTAACTCCCAACCTACGGGTCCGAATAACATTCCGTCAGTTGTCACTAGTCCTATTTTTCATAGGGAAGCTTCCCGTGAGAGTCACATGGTAGTTCGGTGGTTGTTTTGAATTTTTGCTCCCGAAACGCCCTTTTTCGACTAAGTTTTGGGCATATTCAGCTCTAACTTCCAACCTACGGGTCCGAATTACATTCTGTCAGTTCTCACAAGTCTTATTTTTCATGGGGAAGCTATCCATGAGAGTCACATGGTCATTGGGAGGCTGTTTTGAATTTTTGCCCCCAAAACGCCATTTTCAACTAAGTTTTGGGCGTATTCGGCTCTAACTCCCAATCTACGAGTCCAAATAACATTCCGTTAGTTGTCACAAGTCATATTTGTTATGGGAAAGCTGCCTATGAGAGTCACACAGTGGTTCAGGAGCTGTTTTGAATTTTTGCTCCGGAAACGCCATTTTTTGACTAAATTTAGGGCGTATTTGGCTCTAACTCCCAACCTACGGGTCCAGATTACATTTCGTCAGTTGTCACAAGTCCTCTTTGTCATGGGGAAGCTGTCCGTGAGAGTCACATAGTTGTTCGGGGGCTGTTATGAATTTTCACCCTCGGAAAGCTTTTTTTCGAGTAAGTTTAAGGCGTATTCGGCTCTAATTCTCTACTTACGGGTCCGAATTATGTTCCGTCAGTTGCCACATGTCTTATTTGTCATAGGGAAGCTGTCTGTGAGAGTCACACGATGGTTCGGGGGCTGTTTTGAATTTTCGCCCCGAAACGCCCTTTTTCGACTAAGTTTAGGGCGTATTCGACTCTAACTCCCAACCTACGGGTCCGGATTACATTCCGTCAGTTGTTGCAAGTTCTATTTGTCATGGGGAAACTATCCATGTGAGCCACATGGTGGTTCGGGGGCTGTTTTGAATTTTCGCCCGCGAAATGCCCTTTTTCAACTAAATTTTGGGCGTATTCGGTTCAAAAATAGATTATTTGATTGGATGGACTATTGGATTATTTTTTTGATAACTCGGTATCCAGCCTATTCATCTATTTGACTATTGGATTTGGATTATTGTTATTGGGTTTTCTTATCTTCATAAAACCATTATGTTGTGTTTGGATCATGAATTTGAGTAAAAATTTAAAAGAAAAAAGATAAATGTAGGTGAAATGTGAATTAAATATGATTGCATTTCACGCACTTATTCCATTTCCTTTTACAAATCCTTAACTAAATCCATGATCCAAACATAACATTAAGGAAATATGTTGTTTTCAGCGTCATAAAAGCAAAGCACATTTCTTTCTTTCTTTCTCTCTTTTTTTCTTTGTTGTCTTATTTAATAGTACAAGTTGTAGTTTAGATTGTATAAGCATATTTGTGAAAAAGTTGTATTTTAATAGCTGTTTATGTCAAAAATTGTATTTCTTTCTTTCAATAGCTGTTTAGTTCAATTTAATAGCTGTTTAGTTCAATTTGTAGTTTAGATTGTATAAGCATATCTGTGAAAAAGTTGTATTTTAATAACTGTTTAGTTCAATTTTCTTTTCTCCAGTAATGTGATTTGACGTGTATCACTATTGTATAAATCATTTATCTCTTACTCTTACTCTTCCTCTTTGTCAACATAAAGCCATTGGATTTTTTAATATTATACATTGGTTATGCTGGGCATCTGTTGGTATAATAAAGAATGAATTTTTTTTCCCTAAACTTATACAGAAAATCATTGGTTTCGCCATTCATTATGTATTACATTGAGTTGAATGTTAATAAGAACCTACTCAATATGATGGAATTCCAAACAAATATAAAATTATTATTAAAATAATATGTGCATAGATAATGCACCAACAACATCCAATCATGAGAAGAATTGCATATCAATCAATAAAAATCCTCAAATGTATAGGTAAAATATGCAACTACTAATCCAGAAGGGAAATATTACATTCAATGATAACCCAAAAGCACCATTAGCAGAAGTATAACTGTAATAACCCTCACCACTGATTACCGTTAAACATTGATTACTGATAATTGAACTGGTTATAAGTACTGAACTGACTGACTGAAATTGAAAAAAAAACTGAATTGACTGAGTACATGTTAGTTAATTACATTTTATCTGTTGACAGTATGATTAGATGTTCATGTTCATATGTTTAAACTGTTAATTGAAGGCCTTATCGGCAGCCGAATCCGAAACCGATTAGTGTTCTATGATCCTTAGAATTAATGTGATTTTATAGTATAATTATCTGAAAATTGATTAGGTATGATTAAATTAGATTAAATATCGATTAATTGCATAGTTTGATTTAATTACCGTTCCGCCACTTAGTGGACCACTATCTCTTGAACCTTGTATACACTCCACGTATTGATCAAACAAACATTTTCTTCTCCTCTTCTTGCCTCAACCGACCCAAGTTTGAGAGTGAGAGAGAGTTGAGTTGTTCTTGAGAGATTTGCTTGATCTTGCTTGGAATTGAAGTGTTGATTGCTACTTTGAGCTCCTAGACCTTGAACACAAGACTAAGGTAGGACATTCATCTTCTTGTTGTTGTCTTAAGTTGAATCTTGCATGGTTCATGTCATATTGATGGAGGTTAGAGCCAAAACCTGGTTTAGATGGTGAATTGAAGCTTAAGTGTTACATGCATGTACATATATTGAAGTTTTGAGGTTGTGGTTCATCATACCTCACATGCATGTCCATCTTTTGGTCATACTCCATGAGTTCATCTTGGTTTTGACGGCTTGAGCTCTTTTGAAACAGCATTAAAGCTTTGAAAATGATTTAAGATCATGCATGTCATGTTTGAAGATTGTTCTTGTTCACAAACTCAACCAAAATTTCAAGATATATCTATATATATGGAGTCAAAACAACTACCAAATCGAAAAACCATTACAAACAAAAGCTATTCATATCATCTTTTCCAAAATTTAAAATCCAACCACTCCAAGTGAGTTCACAAATGTGAAAGGGGCATTTTGAAGAATGGGAAACAAGAATTGATACAGGAAATAGGGGTTAACAAAAGGGGATTTCGAAGAAGGGAATCAAAACAACGACCAAAGTAAACAAACATAAAAAACCTAAACCTAATATTTTCTTAATTTTGTAACTCACTGGAGAGAAAGATGAGGATCTTATTTTTCTTTGTTTTACAATTAAACAAATTTGGAATTCTGGATAAGACAAAAAGTGAAGATAGTAACAACTTTCTTCATTGTTTATTAGAAAAGAAAAAAGAAAAAAAAAAGGATTAAACACTACAGGAAATTTGCTTTTTAGCGGTGTTTTTAAAACGCCGCGAAAAACCTGAAAAACGCCATAAAAAGTTACAGTGACGTTTAAAATTTTCGTCACTGATATGGCCGCCGCAATAGCTTTACAACGTTTGAAAACCGTCACTAAAACTATAATACGATGTTTTTGAAAACGCCACAAAATGTTGACGTCCGCTTCTCTTAAAATTTTTTATTTTTTTTTCACTAGAAGTTCCTACATTTTGGTAATAATTCCATGGGACTGGATGCTAAATAATCACTCCATTTGAAACAAGATGCAAAGATCCAGGCTTTGGAACAGAAGTAATCTGAATACTACTAATATTTTAAATACCAATGGAGGCCAGATGCAATTTCCACAAAAAAACAAAAAACAAATCTTCCACTAGACTAAGCCAAATACATTATAATGAAATCTAAAAAAACAAAATTCAAATTCATACTCAGAAGAAATAAAAAATTCAAAGCCATAAGATACTTCAAATAACACATGAAATCAATGGCTTTCAGCAGATACCATAAGATACATCAATTCCACAAGATCCAACAGATCCATCAATATGGAAAATGACAGATCCTCATAACAGTACTGTTTCCAGTCATTTTCAAGAGGAGTACTCCAACAGATCCAATAGATACATCAATTCCACTAGATTTTTGTAGTTTTCTTCTTGAATTGGACTTTATTGGTACCACAAGACTCTGAGCACCTTAGAGGACGAGATCAATGGCTTCTAATAAGCTGTAAAACAACAATGGAACATAGATAACAAGGCAAATAGATATTTCCATCGCAAAATCAATATTTCCATCACATGTGTAGCAACAAAATCAAAACAGAGAAGAGTTGAGCATGCAAATAGAATTGAAAACAAGCCATCTTACTCCTAACAGTCAACAAGGCAATACATACCTACCTCATCAATGGGATGTCAGATCATTACGGCCCCACACATTACACCAAAGTAATAGACACAATGAAAAGATAGACCTACCATCCAATTAGACAATAAAAAACAACAAACTACAAAGATGATGGTTTTCATGTTCAGATCTCTGAGAAAAATGAATCAAAAGAAGAACCAAAAAATAATTCTATTTAGACAAACCAGTTGATGCATAGGCAAGCCATTTGTATGCTTAAAGGTAGACACACCAAACCAGATAGCTAATCTCAAGCGGTGAAATACATGATTATCAATAATACATTCAAACAGTGGAGAAAGCAATTACAGTGGTCTCTCCCCAAACTACGAAAAAGATGAAAAACTCCAGTGTGGGCTTTATTCTGTTTTTGCTGAGGTGGGTTTTTTTTGACTGATCTAAACTTTGTTCTCTTGGGCTCAATACAATGCATAAATGCTTTCCAGATTCCCAATGGTCTGAAAACTCAATGTATTAAAGAAAACGAACACAAGTTTTCTTGCCTAAACTTAGGGGATGCTAATTAATTCAACTTCATCATGGTGTGGCAATTGCATAAGCTGTTGGTTAGTTTTGTAATTTTTTATAGATTAGTATAATATAAGAAATTAAGGGAGAGAACCCTAATGTTCTCATTCTTTCCTATTTTCATATAACCTTATATCTCTTCTCTTTTTCATTCTTAATTCTCTATTCAAATTTGATAAAACTTTCCCTGATCGACTAGGAGAGTTCACTTACCCTATATATTTTGTGTTTCCATTGGACAGGCCTTACTCTGGTTTTTCCAATTTTTTCTTACTTATAGCAAAAAAAATTGAGTATTTTCAGATCTGTCCATTGAAGCATTTTAGGAACAATTTTATTGGTTATTCATTAAGAGAGGGGGCGACTTACACTCGGAATAAAATGTGGTTTCTCAACAGTCAACAATCATTGGCTACTTCTCTCCAAACTGTAACGCATAATCCTACCTTACAAATTACCATGGTAAAGCTTAATGGGCGCAATTATTTGTCTTGGTTTCAATTAGCCAAGTTGTTTATCAAAAGTAGAGAGAAAATAGGGTATGTAACTAGACAAATTGTGTAACCAAGGGACAATAACCCACTTTATGATTACCGGGACTCCCAGAATTCTACTGCCATATCATGGCATCTCAACTCGATAGAGCCTGAAATCAATTGTGGTTATTTTTTCATGGATACCACAAACGATATTTGGGATGCAGCTGCACATACCGTACCCAAAGGAAGGGAATATGGCACAAGTGTACGAATTGAAATGCAGGATTCACAATACTAAGCACAGTTTTGAAAGGCGAAAGCGCAAGGCGAGGCATTTTACTCCTGAAGATGCGAGTCATAAACCCTTTGAATTCTGGTTTTTTTTTTTAATAAAATATAAACTTATAAAACTAGGGAATAACAAATAAAATTCATAAAAACCGTTTCATACATATACATAAAAGCAAAAAGAATTAATAAATCAGACAATATGCAAGACAATAACACTAAAAAATAAATAAATAAAAAAGAGACCAGTTATGCAACAAATACAAGAGTCCAACCAAGGTCATTTAGGAAAAATAAATACTCCACCAAATACGGAGTTTGGGGTTTTTATGAATTTTTATCTCAGTAGCATACACACAGCAGCATACACACAACAATGATAATAACATCAACAGTAGCATACACACAGCAATGATCTCTCTGACAATTTACATATGTGTACATGAATATTTAGAGAGAAAAGCAGTGTTATATTACAAAACTAGATAGATATATCAGCGCATACCTATTATAGAAGCACAATGCATATTCGTATAAGATTCGTCTCCCGTGAGCAATTCTCACATGACATTAGTCATATTCATCTTCACTTTCGGTACCAATATTCCTGAAGTTCAAGTTGCAATAAACAGTTCAAGGTAAATAAATGACTAAGAAGTTCAGTATAAAGATAGCACGGGTAAAAACATATCAAACATGAAAAGAGATCAAAATGCACCATGGAAAGAGTGCTTAGCAAAGATGCTTCTGTAAACATACATGATGTTAACTAGGATTTCTATTTCAAATGTTTAAGAAAGGTTACTCTGGATTCCAAAGTAATTCAAAATTGATATTCGGAGCCCAACATTTATATTAGCCTAGTGATGATGAGTATTCTGTCACTTCCATAAGAATACAATCAGTGGATATGTTTCAAATTCTTATACACCTGAAATTCTCATGTAATCCACTAATTATGAGTGTTTTTAAGGACAATTAACAAACATTTGAGAACAGAGGATCTTTCACCACTAAAATTCAGGTTGGAGAAAGGAGAAGAACAACACAACAATACCCAAAACAAAGATATTAAAATACTTGGAAAAAATGCTACTAGCAGTAGAGAAGTGGCAGGCTTTCAGCCATCGCGATTGGTCTCACAGGGAGCAGAAAATCCTTACAAATAAGACACATAAGTATCTAACAATGTAAACCACAAGCATAATAAATGGAAATATATACAACTACCATAAAAAAAATGATATCACAGTACACGAATCCAAAAAATAAATTAAATGAACTTAAATATTTACATGAGTTGTTACAACAACCAAACAATAAATGGCTTTACATCCAATCCAAATGCAGCACACTTACTTCATGAATACCTGCAAACACAAAAGCACACCAAAAGAAAATTATATTCAGTCCCTTCAAGCAACTACCAAATCAAACAAACATTACAAACAAAAGCTATTCATATCATCTTTTCATAAATTTAGAATCCAACCACTCCAAGTGAGTTCACAAACATGAAAGGGGCATTTTGAAGAATGCGAAACCAGAATCGATACAGGAAATAGGGGTTAACAAAAGGAGATTTCGTAGAAGGGAATCAAAACAATTACCAAAGTGAACAAACATAAAAAACTTAAACCTAATATTTTCCTATTTTTATAAACCAACCCAGTGAGTTCACAAACGTGAAAGGGGCAGTTTCAAAGAAAGGGATTGCGGTCTAGGGTTTCATAGAATGGAGATGGAGAAAGGGAGAGAGAAAAAAGTTGCACAGAGAGAGAGAGAGACATACCTTCAGGCGAAGTCGAGGGTAGGTCGTGTTCGCAGGGATGGTCTTCGAGGGCGAAGAAGAGTGTCTGAGTGGTGTCTCAAAAACAGAGGGGCTTTGGGAAAACAACTGAAGAAATTTGAAAAAAAGGTAACCGGTTGAAGAGGTAGTCAGGATTCCTAATCAAATTATTTAGTGATTGAGATTAATTTGTAAAAATCTAATGGCTTAAAATAAATGTATATATGATGTGCACATCTTATTGAGGTGCACATCTTAACAGCTCCCGATATAATCTAAAAAAGATAAAAAGTGTGCTGATAAAAAAGTGTGCTACCATAGATCATGCGAAAGAAGCTTTTAATTTTTAATTTTTTTATAGCACGATTATTATACTTTAAAAAATATAAACTTTCTAAAATTTACCTATTATTGTTTTTGAGAAACATCAATAGCAATAATTAATGCATTTAAAAGAATGATAAAACAAAAAAATTTAAATTATTTTAATTTTTCGTTTTTGAAAAGTATCTAATATTTTGAAATAATAAAAAATAGGGTAAATTACAAATACACTCCTGAGATTTGACTAAAATATAAATCGCCCCCTATAGTTCTGGAAATTATATTCCATCCTTTGAGGTTTTTGATTTCATAATAAATCGTCAATTTTATTAATGAAAGGTGAATTACACTAACGGTCCCTATAATTTGGGGCTTGTGTCACTTTGGTCTCTAATTTTTCAATTGTGATATATTTGATCATGAATTTTGAATCTTATTCCAAATAAGAATAATTGAAGATACCATTACTCAATTTTAAAGGCAAAATCATCAAATTGATAAAATATAAATTAATTTAACAAAAATAAATATCAAAAAAAATATTTTTGAATTTTTAAAAATTATTTATACCCGTTAAAGATAAAATGATGTAAATTTGATAAATCTTTTAAACATTTATTTATTTATTTATTTTACAAAATTGATTTTTATTATGTGTTTTGATGACGATCATGTAATGGGTGGTTATTTTTATTTTCATTAAAGTAGTTTCTATTTTTTCAAAAGTTAAAAATGGTGACAACTTTGATATCATTGTTAAACCAATCCATTAAATTGAAAAATTCAAAACTAAAAACATTTCATATATTAAATATAACGATTACACATTGAAAGTCTAACAACCACCTATTGCATAATCGTCATCCAAATACATAATAAAAAATAATTTGGTAAATAAGTAAATATCTAAAAGATTTATTAATTTTACATAATTTTATCTTTGGTGGGTAGAAATAATTTTTAAAAATTTAAAAATATTTTTTTGATATT